GTGGTCCGCTACGCAGAGGCCACTCTTCCCTGCCAGAGCCTTCTCGGTTACAAACGGAGGTCATCACTCAGATGTAAACTTGACGGAAGGCAGCAGCTCACTAACCGACTCGCTGCAACACGTGCGACGCAGCTACTATCGTCACCAGTAAAGTGCGTACGTACGCATTAACAGTTTTTAACTCGCATCGAATATCCTGCAATTCTGATAGCCGTCCAGCGGATTAATGATCGACAGCGATAAACCGAGTCATTAAAAACAAAAATGCGACACAACACCGCGATGATAATCAATTGACTGAAAGTCATCGAGATATTTCGCCAACGTAGATTTTGCGTAGTTTAAAATGATCAGCTGAGTACCAAATTTATTCTACTTCGATGGCCGACTGTGCGAAAGTAACTCGAAAATTCCATTTCGATTCTGAAAAGACTTGGGATTTGATATCTACCCAAAGTGACGTAAACTACAATATGATTTTAGCAGTGGTGAAAAAAATGTATCAAAGCTGAACCGGAAATTTTGAGGAAATCAACCTGCAATGGAAGAGTTTTCATGGCAATAGGACAGGTATGCAATAAGATAAATGTCACCAAATAGATCAATGACGTTACGAGACATGCCGAAATTTATGATTTAGCCGTAAGAAGCTCAACTAATTAAGAGATGACTGCAGGTGTCTGTCCGTCCCCTTGATCTACTCTAAAGGAATGATCATCACATCGTCCTACTGGTTACGCTAGCATGCAGATGATCGAAGGAACCATGGCGAAATTTGAAATACTTGGAGCATGCTACAATGACAAATGAAAGAAACAAGGAAGCATGCAACCATCGCAAAGTCGGTTTCTTTGTACATGACTGGACAGAAATTGCGCAGTACTGCACTCTTAATGGAGCTTACGCTACTGCAGTACTGATGCTGATTCAGTTTCTATAACAATAGCCAGGAATGCCTTATTTCAAAGGCAATTTTCACGTGTACGTGTAATAACGTGCAGTCGCTTATTTTCCCTCTCAGAAAGGCAACTCATTTATCTAATTCAGAACAATGAGAGGAGATCAAATCTGAGACTTTCGACAGCGAGTCTGATGCTGTGCCATCTGAGCAGTGCTGGTCTACCTCATAAAGTAATTGAGAACTGATTAAAATATATGCTCAAACGCTGGCGCGGGA